AAAAAAAAAAAAAAAAAGAAAAAAAGAAAGAACCGAATACAAATATCAGACATTACTGACATTCTGCAACCCTGCCACCTTACTCAAATTATGTGCTATCAATATTCCTCAAAATTATTTCTCATTAGCTCTCTACCAAAAAAAACCCCTTTTACACCATCAGAAACCAACATCAGTGGCTTCCACCGAGACATAGCATCAGCCAAAATTAATGTGCTATAGGCCGTTATCAGGACGTACAAGGACGAACCTGCTCCCCCTGATTAGAAAAGTTTGAGAGGTGGCAATAAGTCTGAGCGACAACGAAAAGACACAGTAAAGTCTGCAAGAGGTGGATGGCCGCGACAGACGGCGGAATGAAAATCCCGGGAGGAACCTTTTAGACCAAACCTCAAGGTCAACCGGCTGGGGACGCAAAATACTCAGACCCGTGACAGCGACAGGGCCCAACTGACGCCGCGGCCTCAGGCAGCAGAGGGGGTACAAAGTCATAATCAATAAAACAAAGATATTATTTAAAAAATAAATCGGTGGCTGACGCAGCAGCTGCCAGCTACAGCCCCGCGCGGGTGCGAGCTCCGGTGACCAACCCGAAAGCACAAAGGCAACCACGGACAGGCACAGGGAAGGGCGGTGCGCGGTCAAGAAGGAAGTAACACATCCGACAGCTGCGCGGGTCGCCCGGGATGGACACCGCGCCCAGCCCAGGGCCCCCAGCGGCCCGCAGTCTCACCGGCAGGGCTTGCCTTGCCACTTCCTGTTCATCTCCCCGTCATCGGCCTTCTCGGCTCACCTCAAACAGCCCAACAGAAACACTCGCCCTCTCCGGGGCTGGACCGCCCTGGTCCCTGAGGCCGCTTGTTCACGAAGACCCTCATTCCGCCATCTTCGCTCCTCTTCACGTCAGCCAAACCGGGGGCGGGCGGCTCCCCTAAGTCCGCCTTCATCACTGGCACTGAGTAGTGATTGGGTTTTTGCTTGTGGGCGCGCGCTTCCTTTCAGTCACGAATTGGCTAGTATGTATGTCAATCAACAGTGCGTCCACGCCTACGATTTTTGGGGGGTCGGATTGGGTGGTCGGTTTGAGGAAATAGGGAAAATCATTTTTGAGATTAATTCATTAGGAATGTAAAGTTTTTTCCGCCTAAGAGCACCACCACTTCTTGGTAACATAGTGTGGCCAGGCTCCACAACTATTTTAAACCGCTGTTAGATTTAAACTACATTACTAATAATGTCATTGTCAGGCCTGAAGACGTTGGATGCTTGGTATCTAAGGAAACAGCTTAATGGTTTCGGTTGGTCTGACTTTGACTCATTTAGACCTTAAAGGGGCCCGAATGTTGGCCTGCTGTTGACAGTTGTGGTCAATACAGGAGGGCAGGATTTGTCACTTTTGAGGGCCTATTTGCTAAACGACCAACTGCAGTAACCGGCAATTGTTTTGTTTTGTTTCCTACAGCCAACTGTAGGTTCTGAGAACCTTCCTTCAGGGCTAGTTCCAGGAGAGGCGAGGAAGGTAATGTTGACAGATGGTGTGGTGTCCAGTGGTTCCAGCCTCTTATCAAAGAATTTGATGAAGACAATTGATGAATTTAACAGTGTAGCATTATTGAGGAAAATGAGAGAAAAAGAAGAGAAGAAATGGAGAGGAAAGAAGAAGAAAGAGAAAAATGAAGATCCTGTATGTCTTGCACACAGGACTGCCACTCAAGAACAAAGGGGAAGTGGCCAGGAGGCCCAAGAGCCCTGTCTTTTATATCTTCTTTGGATGTCAGATCTGGGCCTTCCTGTGCAGGACTCCAAAGCTGCTCTGTGCATGCTCTGGGTTGTGATTTGACAGCTCTCCGTGATTGACAGGTCATTCCCAGTAGCCCAGCCTGATTTGCCATTCCCTAATCTTCTACCTCATTTCCCGCTGAGAGACATAAACCCTCATAATTCTTATGGGGTGCTGAGGGAGTGGAGGGCTCTGTCTTCATATAGCTACTTATTGCTGAAGAGCTCTCTGATTATCTTAGGATGTTATGGCTCACTAGCTAGGCTGAGGAAAACCTGTCACAAGACAGTGAGAAAGGAGTTAGTGTCTATATATTGAGACTGTTGAGGGCCGGGGATTTAGCTCAGTGGTTCTGGTGCCTACTTTGCAAGCGCAAGGACCCAAGTTCGATCCCCAGTACCAAAAAAAAGAGAGAGACTGTTGAGCTTATCTGTTTAATGGACGAGAGTTTGGTGAGTGAAACTGTCAGGAGCCTGTGGAGGCAAAGAGGAATGTTAGGTAGGCTATCAGTGTCTATTTATGGTGGCTTTACTTATGTGTGCTCAGAGCAGAACTGGAATCTTGCTTTCTGAAGATGACCCTCAAGTCTTCCAGAGATTCATAGAAGTAGCTTTCTCCTTTTGGGTTGTTTTTTTCTTCAGATAGTTTAGGTGGAGATGGCTTTATCCTAATGAGATGGATCCAGTTATCTATCTCTGCCACCTTTATTTCAGTGGCCATGCAAAGATCATTGAAAGGGGACCTACCATTTTGGTTTTAATTGGTCTACATGGGTCCCTTCTTTCCAAGGTTTTTTTATTTTTTTTGGTACTGCGGATTGAACTTGGGACCCTGTACTTGTGAGGCAGGCGACAGCACCACTAAGCCAAATTCCCCGCCCCTTCCTTCCAAGTTTTAATGAGCACTTAATCTCCCAGGCAGACAATAGATGGTCCCCTTGGGCCAGGAGCTGGCAGGACGTCATTCCCAAATAATTGGACAGCCTGTTGAACTGTTAAGATATTGTAAGATGGGGCCAGGGATTTAGCTCAGTGGTTCCCCTGCCTGCCTCACAAACACAAGGACCCAAGTTCGATCCCCAGTACCAAAAAAAAAAAAAAAAGATATTGTAAGAGTTTTGTGGTCTCTAGGTCTATCACCATATCAGACGATAGAAAAGGCCTCCCATGTAGCATCTCATATGGACTCATTTAGCTCAGTTTTTGAGATGTTTTAAATCCTCATGAGAACTAGTTGTAATAATTGGAGCCAATGGATGCACATTGCGGCCATACCTTTTTTTTTTTTGGTACCTGGGATTGAACTAGGGTCCTTGCACTTTCAAGGCAGGCAGCTGCACCACTGAGCTAAATCCTGGCCCCTGAGGCCATACTCTCAAGTGAAATAAATAGGATACATATATGTAAATATCAAATAGTTTCTCTGGTGAAAGTGTAAATAAGGATCAAAATGTATAATAGATAATGTGAAATAGGAAGAAAAGGTCCAAAGGGGAAGAGGAAGTGGGAGGGGTAGGGGAAAGAAGGGAAAGAAATAAACATGAGAAAAGGAAAAAATTGAAGCAAAGTCTTTGTTAATAGGGAGGGTGGAGGGGTTGAAGGGAGGGCAGGGGAATGGGGACAAAAATAAGAAGCAAGATACATCATGTAAAGGTATAAATTCCCAATCATGAATGTCATTGTATTGTATACCTAAAATGTACCAATAAAATTAATGAATTTTTTAAAAAGAAATAAGATAATGCATGTAAAATACTTAGACAGCCCTCTCTTTATGCTTAATGGAATTCATCTTTCACTAAAAACTAAATAAATAATTAGAGCCAAGTCTCAGAAGTCCCTTGGCAAAATTTTGCCAGAGTTCACTTTAGGGTCCAGTTGGCACTTTTAACCTTTCTGGAGGACTGAAGCGTCCATGCAGAATGTCAATGGTACTTTATTCCTAAAGCCTTTGCTGCCCCCTGAGTTATTTGACAGGTAAAATAACATTATTATCACCTAAAGGGACTGGGCTAATCCAAACCAGGGAATGATTTCTTTGAGGAGCATCTTTACTACCTCCATAGCTTTTTCTGAATGGGTAGGGAAGGCCTCAATTCAACCTGTAAAGGTGTCAATTAGGACCCGTATCTGTTTAAATCCCCAACATGGTGGCACATGGGTAAACCCTAATTGCCAGTCCTCCCCAGGGTATGTCCCTCTCCTCTACAGATTTCTAACAAAGGAGGTGGGTTTGGACTTGACAGGGTTATTGTAGGCAGAGTAGGCAAGCTTGACAGACCTGTTGGATGGTTGCCACTAGTACTAGCCCTGTGAAAATTCCAGTGACCATTTCCCATGTAGCATCTCTTCCCATATGGAAAGAATCCTGGTGTTTTTATTGGAAGGGTGAGTTTCTTTTCTAAATATCACAAAATTCTTTTTTTTTTTTTTTAACATTTTTGGTACCGGGGATTGAACTCAGGACCTTGCTCTTGCAAGGCAGGCGCAGTGCCGCTGACCTAAATTCCTAACCACAAAATTCTCTTTTTAATTTCCCCTTATCCTAAAGTCCATTTACCTTCCTGTGGAGTATAGACTGGTTTAATTTTTTAAATATTTTTATTAGCAGTATTTATTAGATATTGATAATTTTTAATTTTCTATTTCCAACTATTTCCTTCATTATCTTTTGCTGGGCCTGAAAATCTTGAAGCCATTCATTGTGAGCATTACCTGTCTTGGAAATTCAACAGTGCCTATGCTGCCAATTGCTGCAACTCCTTCCACTCCTCTAGATTATACTGAAGCTCTTCCAGCAACTCAAGATACTGCAAGAGTAAATTTGGGGGCCACACAGCGTACTTGTCCTGATCCATTTCCAAGAGCTCTGGGAGATTCTGTTGTACCAGGTTCTCCCAGTCCAGCTGATCACCATACTCCGAGGAGGAGGATATAGAGGAGGAAGATGAGGACTCTTCCCTTCTGGTCAAAGACTCCTTTGTTGGTTTGGAAGACACTACCTGTTCCTTTTGAACAGCGCTGTTTAGACTCTTTCTCAGAAGCTTCTTGGAAGTCCAAAGACATCCTTCATTGACTGACTTCTCTGACACTGATTTTGCTATAGCTAGCTTGACCTTAGTGCTATAAAGGATAGGTTCTGTCTCATCCTGAGGACCTGCAGCTTGAGGACATCTGCTTTGTGTTGAGCTGCCAGGTGTGCCATCTGCTTGTCCAGCTCATTCTGGATGTTATTAGCCATGGACCTGGAAGTCATTAGCCATAGTGCTTATTGTGACATTTCAAAAGATAATGGAGGGGTCCAGGGATTTAGCTCAGTGGTTCCACTGCCTGCCTCGAAAGCACAAGGTCCTGAGTTCGATCCCTGATACTGTTGCAGAAATCTCGGAAAGAAATACACAGAGACACAGAATTCGGATAAAATAATAAAATTTCTTCTCGCGAACAGGTGGGAATGCCAGAAACCAGTCTGGTCAATATCCAATATCCATGCCCCCTTTGTTCAGCATTTCCCTTTTTATATCCTTTTTAGCCATTATCTCATCCCTAGTGGTCTTTGATATGTAAATACAATTCCAGTTCCTATTTACAAGTCACAGACACAAGACAGGCCATATACATTGTAAATTCACCCTGGCATGGTAACTTTGTTCGGTTAATGAAGTTACTGGTTAGAGTCAGATAATCCTCACCTTAAACAAGGAGTTACAGGAAAAGCAAATCTTAAAAGAACACATTACTTATTTTGCTTCTACAACTACCTTAATATTCAATATATTGTTATCTAAAACTTTTCCACATTTCCGTATCAATACCAAAAAAAGATAATGGAGGGCTGGGGATTTAGCTCAGTGGCACCGCGCCTGCCTCACAACCACAAGGTCCTGAGTTTGATCCCTGGCACCAAAAAAAAAAAGATAGTGGAGCCCAGCAGCACCCAGAGGATGACATAGGTGCTGGTGATGACAGAGCTGACTTCCAGCCCCTTTCAGAGGTCCTGGAGCAGCAATGTTCCAGTGATCCATCATGAAGAGATGACACTCATTAGGGAACTTGGCAGGGCCAAGAAGGCCTCCTTTTACATGGGTGTAATCCTTAAAAACATAGACACTAGGGCTGGGGATTTATTTCAGTGGTTCTGGCGCCTGCCTCAAAAGTGCAAGGTCCCAAGTTCATTCCCAGCTACCAAAACAAAACAAAACAAAAATCAAGGTTAGCCTGAACTACAAAGTGAGACCCTGTCTCAAAAAAATAAAGTCACCATTATTTGGAATTGCTGTTTCCAGTTCTACCAAGGGACACAGGAAAGATACAAAAAACCTCCCAAAAAACTGGATCCAGCTTAAAGGGGCTCCCTTAGCTCAAATTTGGGACAATTTGAGTGTCTTTTTATACTGTACACTGCATAGGACACGCCATCACTCCTGTGGTACCGCCACCATATGCTCAAAACAAATCCATTCAAAAGCCAACATTGGACAAACCGCTATGAACTACCTGTTACTGAATGGAGTGTGTTGACAGGTGAGCCATTGGGAAGCGCAATTGCTCTCTCTGCTGGCCAAAGAACGAAAAACCGCAAACGTTACAAAGCCGTCTTACCCCAGCCCCCAGCCAAACACCTGGAAGAGGCAAGGTGAGAGAAAGTTGGGAGCACCAGGTCACAGAGAGTGCCCAGCTGGGCGCGCCTCAGCAGGAAGAAGGGAGCACCTAGCCAGGGGAAGGAAGGAGGAGGCAGTAACTGTGTGCCCATATCAATGACTGTATGCATAAATTTAATGAGGCCTTGAAACACTTGAAAGGAGTACTAACGTGCCATACTTCAGCATCTCAGTGATCCTCAAATTCCTTGGCAACTAAGTGAGACCTTGTCTCAAAATAAAACATTCACTTTAAAAAAAAAGGTCTCGGGATATGGCTCAATGTGAAGGCCTTAAGTTCAATCACTATTACTGAAAAAAAAAAAACCTGAAAGATAACTCTCACCCTCAAGAAATTCAGCATCTTGACAAACACTGCTTTCTCTTCAATTCCTAAAGGTGTTTTCAGATAAGCCTCTGAACCATGTGACCACAACCATTTCTATTTTCTTCCTCAAAATTGTGTTAGTATACTGTGATACACAGTACTTACCCATTCATCTGGGGGGAACTGGTAATACACATATCACATGTTGATCCTTTTTATAACCTTTTCCCTTCCTCCTGTCTCCTGCATCCCCAGATCACTTTCCAGTCCTTTCAAAGAAGACTGACTCACTGATCCTTTGTATACCATAATCATGTGTGTCCAAGACAAGGAAGATATGACATCTGTACAAACCAGGTCACTGAACTCAATCAGAATACACACCATTTAATTACAAAAATCCAGGCATTGCCTGAATTACATGCAGTAACATTTAATTTTTTTATTTTCAGGGATGTTTCACTTAGGTATATTTTTGGGCTGGGGATTTAGCTCACCAGCACAGCGCCTGTCTGCCAAGAATGAGGTCCTAAGTTCGATCTCTGGTACCAAAACCAAAACCAAAACCAAACCCACTTATGTACATTCTCATCATACTGAAGCTTAAGCCTATAAACAATTGCACATTTTATTATTTTAATTTTTATTAGTACATCTGTAGTATAATGATTACATTTGTCTGGGAAATTGGTACATGTACGTAACATCTTAATTCCTTTTATGTTCTCTTCTCTCCTCCATCAGCTATGGCACTTTTCTTTTTTTGGTACCAGGGATCGAACTTGGGATCTTGCACCTGTGAGGCAGGCGGCTGAACCACTGAGCTAAATCCCCAGCCCTTTGGCACATTTTAGATGCTGAGGACTTGAGGTTTGTCTTACAGACTTGTGTTATAAATCCTTAAGGGTGAATAGGCAGGCTGCTTTGGATTAACTGATTTACAGAATATCTATGGGCTATCCAGTTTTTCTTAGCATCTCCTCCTTTGTAAAGTTCCCTTCTTGGTTCTAGGGAGTCAAGAAAAGAAGTTGAATTTTACTTGGAATAAATAAGAAGTGGGGAAGGGTGACAAAGCTGTAGATGGAGGCAGACAATGTGAGCCTCTGGGTGAATCTTCTACTCCACAGGCTGGGATGAGCAGAGTCCCCTGGATTGCATGGTACACACACAAACCTGAGCTGGGCAGACACTGCTCATGACTTCAACATGAAGGAGACTGAACTACACAAAATTCTTGTAAAAGACATAGAGAAAAACCCTAAGTCATTTTATTTTAACGAGTATTTATTGACAGAATGAACAATACAATTTTAATGGGACAGTAAGGCACAACTGTGGATTAAAACAGTTTGCTATACAGTCAAGCAAGGGGAAAGCCATAATCTTAGGAAGTTTAAATATACAAACCAAGGAGTTTCTGACTCCTAGCAGGTCACTATCATACAGTTCTTCCCTTTTATATAATTCCCATATTACTTCACGTTGATCAAAAAGCCAGAGTGATACATCACAAAGAATTTCTCGTGCATTTATACTTACGCCATCCAGCCTGGCCACTCCTGTTCCCCACCTTTGTTCATCCCTTTGCACTGGTATTTTTTAGCAGTTCCTCTCCTAAAGAACTGTTCACACATCTTGGACAGCAAGGGAACAAGCAAGCAAGCAGCCAGTCAGAGTCACTCAAGGGCAGATGTATGGACGAAGGGACTCACAAAACAGAAGACGGCAACGGCCCGATTCAATGGGGTTTAAGCTGGCTTTGGCAGAGAAATTGCTCTGGCTCACTTAATGACCTCAGTGCCACCAGTGCCAGACCCCTTGTCCCCAAGGGATTAGTAGTGGTCCAGACAGGAGCTAGAAGGGTCATGTAACCAGGCAGCAAAGACAATACATTCAATGCTTTGGGCTGTAGTAGGAGCTGACTATGGCTTCCGCATTAACAACTGCCAAGTGGAAAATTCATAAAGAATTTTGTGGGCTGGGGATTTAACTCTACTGCCTTGCCTGCCTCACATGCGCAAGGTCCTGAGTTTGATTACCAGTACCACCCCCCCCCAAAAAAAACCCCCAAAACAAGAATTCTGTGTAGAACTTCAGGACATTGAGGCTAATCTTTAATTCTCTTGGACTGGGATAAGTTAGGCACTTCCGTGACACTAGCTGCTCTACTTGGAAATGTAAAGGGAGAGATCTTCCTGTGTCATCACACCAAGGCATACGCCATGCTGCAGTGTGAGTGCAGGAGGTGCTAAGGGGCTCCTGGTTTCTTTGCTCAAAGAGTCACAAGATGGTCCCAACAACTCTGCAGCCACTCTGGTGGTGACGGTGACCCAAAGCCAAGCAGACCTGCACAGCACTCATCAGAGAGGCCATGTAGGTGCATAAGCTGAGAATCAGAAGCCAGAGGTACAGTGACCTGGGAAAGCCACCAAGGTGACCTTTCAAGGTCATTTCCACCAAGAAGCCCTTTGATGACAAACAGTGCAAGAGATGAGAGGGTCACATTCTTCCAAGAGAAGTGTTGGCTCCTGAAATGTTCCTAGAAAGGCAGCATCCTGGAGACCCATTTAAGAGGGAAGGTAGATAAAACTGCCAGACCTCAGAACCATCCTCCCAAGTCAGAAACAGATTTAACAGGCATAGCTTGGGGCGCCAAGTAGAACAGGGTGCACTGTGAGGGTCAGCAGGATGGCAGGCTGGGTGACAAGGAAATGGAAAGGCAAGGATGCACACGAGGACAGCACAGCTACACGTCCACACAGCGAGAGCTCTGCTGGCCCGATCCAGGCATGATTCCCTCTCCCCTTCTCGGACTGGATGGATGGGTGGTGTTTCGCAGCACAAGAAGGAAAGATGGTGCTGAGAAATAAAGAGGTGGTGGACAGCTACAGAACAGAAAGAGGCCAGGTGAACCCTTCTGTAAGGCAGGTTTATACACAGGGTGGGTCTGGATGGGCAATCATGTGGGGTCATCATGCAACAGCAGTGGTACTTCGGGAGAAGGGAAGAGATGGGATAGAGATGGGATAGAGGTGGGATGGGTGGACAGGAGGACTCTTGAAGTTCCAGTTCTTAAATACTAGACAGCAAGGAATAGTTTGGTCTGTGTCCTTTAGTGAAGAAACCGGATGCTCATTTTCTGTTCTACATCCACCTTCTCCAAAACCTGGAGTAAGAAAATCAAACCCAGTTACAGTTAGGAAGCACAAAACCATCCCAAATACATTCCCAAATAATACCTTCTCCTCCCTCCTACACAGTATAATTTAACTTTTTCAAAACAAACAAGAGGTGACTGACTGACCTTGACAAACTCTGTGAAAGATATGGCACTGTCCCCATCCTGGTCAGCCTCCTGAATGGTCCTGTCTGCAATGCTGCCCAGCTGTTCATCTGAGATATTCACGCCAACCATCATGCGTAGCACCTACAAGATCAAGAGGTGGGCACTGCTGGGACCTTGAGAATCACAGGGACTTTACTAGATTAAAGTGAAAGCTGTCTCAACTCCCTTTTCTCTGATTCTTTTACATTTAACAGTCAGAACTCTATCTTCTTTTCATCTAGGCTATTTGAGACAATGATGTGGGCCAAGGCACTGAATAGGAAGGTAACACCTCACTAGGGGAAGAGTCCTTCACATTTTGCTGGTTCCTATTCTTCCTGCACAGGATGCAGATCGGGTGGCACAGTAGCCATTCTGGGGCTGTGAAGTGTATCATGTGTGCTATGTGTGCCAGAACAAAAATACAACAGCACCAGACAGCTGGATATTATGCAGTTACTGTACCACTCTAGTCAACCTATCTGCAGACTTCTATTGCATAAGGAAAACAAGTTCAGTTTGATGGAACTCTCTGGAATCCCTTCCCAATGAAGTCCCCTTTTAAGGAGCCGTATTAAGCCAGGGTACGACCCAAGAAACATAAAGGATTAACCCTTCAAGGGTTACTATACCTGCCAAGGCCTTCTCTTTGAAAAATAATTAGCACTTTTTTGGGGGGGAGTACTGGGGATCGAACTCAGGACCTTGCACTTTCGAGGCAGGCACGGTGCTACTAAGCTAAATCCCCAGCTCAAGTACCTTTTTTTTGAGGCAGGGTATTTCTATGTAGCTCAAGCTGTCTTTGATCTTGGGATCCTCCTCAGTCTCTCTACTGCTGGGATCAGAGACATGTGCCACCATACCCAGCAATAATAAGCATATTTAAAGAACTTTCAGAATTGAAAGAATTTAACACTATTTCACTAAATGTATCAAACGTAATGAAGAACCCCACTTGCCACAAGTTTTTTTGTTTGTTTTTCAGCACTGGGGACTGAACCCAGGGGTGTGCACCCTTTAAAAAATGTATTTTAAAAAGGGGTTCTTACTAAGTGGTGCAGGACAGCCAGGAGCTCAGGATCCTTGGGTCTCAGCCTTCGAGTGCTGGGAATACAGACATATACCACCATGTCCGTTTTTTTTTTTTTTTCAAGCAGTCATAAGGTTTGAACTCAGGGCCTGTACATACTTGGCTAATGCACTATCACATTTCTAGCTCTTTGTTTTGTTTACTAAGATGGCGGTCTCACTCTGTTACCCAGGCTGGGCTCCAATTCCTGGGCTTGTGATTCCCCTGCCTCAGCCTCCCAAGTAGTTGCTATTAATTTGCACATGTCACTCTACTCAGTTAAAAACCAGCTCTAGAAAATTGGGAATTTGAGTATTTTAGGTACAAAATGTACAACTGAAAGATTTAAAAAATGGCAGATCTAGCAAAGACCACTTGGGCCAAGCCACTGCTCTCTTCCCTTACAGAATGGCCAAACAGAGGAATCCATCCTCACACTGTAGCCTCTTCAGCTCTTGTTCCCATTATTTCCTAAGTATTATATTTTTAGAGTCTCAGAACTGGGTTATGTATGTGCAGGTTGCAGCAGTAGTGGGGGACGGCTGTGGTGCATCTTAAATGCCACTGCATTTGGTCTACTAATGATCCCAGGACCAGAGATGGGCTGATCTGGGTCCCAGTGACCAGTGGCAGGAGCTGTCTGCCAGGTCTCCATTCCCAGCCCAGTGCTCCTACCCCCTGCTCAAGCTGCCACTCACGGTTCCCCTGGGAAGTTTATTAGCAAGTGGGAAACTAGCCTCTTGAGTGCTGGTACTAAAGGCCTATGCCACCGTGCCTGGCTGGTAAGAGGTTTTGTTCTGTTTTGGTACCGGGGATCAAACTCAGGAACTTGTGCTTGCCAGGCAGGCATGGTGTCACTGAGCTAAATCCCCAGCCCTGATTTAGGCTTTTTTTTTGTACTGGGGATCGAACTTGGGACCTTGCGCTTGCAAGACAGGCGCTGAAATCAATGAAAATCCCCGGCCCCTCTGGTTTAGTTTTTTGAGACAGGGTCTCATTACGTAGTTCAGGTTGCCCTTGAACTATGTAGCCCAGGGTGGCCTTGAACTCACAACAATCCTGTCTCCTGAGTGTTGGTATTATAGGCATGTACCACCATGCTCAGCTTGGTGAGGGTTTTTGTATATAGTCACTGTCAATTTAAGAAAAGTTCCTTCTGTTTCTGGTTTTATAAGGGTTTTTGAAAATTATGAATTTTATTAAATGGTTTTTTCAAAGGAAAAGACCAACTTTTTTCCTTATTAACATGGTAATGAATTCCTTAGTGTATTAACATGGTAATGAATTTCAACTGTAAAACCACCTTGGCTATAATAATATCGTGCTGTTTTCACATACTGCTGTATTCAGTGTCTTCCTTCCTTACTTATTTTTATTGGTACTGGAGATCAAACTCGGGACCTTGTGCCTTCGAAGCAGGTGGCGGAACCACTGAGCTAAATCCTCATCCCCCCCTTTTTAATTTTTGAGACACGGTTTTGCTATGTAGCCCAGGCTGGCCTCAAACTTGCAACAGTCCTCTTGCCTCAGCTTCCCAAGTGCTGGGATTACAGGCATGCACCACCACAACCAGCAATAATCTAAAAACATTTTCTTTTGGTGGGGCAGAACTGGAAAACAAACCTAGGGATCCACTGAGCTACATCACCAGCCTTTTTATTTTTTGAGAAAGGTTGTTGCTAATGTCACCAAGTTGCCCAGGCTGGCCTCAAATTCACAATCCTCCTGCAACTGTATCTCATGTAGCTGGGATTACAGGCATGTGCCACAGTGTCCAGCTGTAAATTTCTTTTCTTTTACTATTGTTACAAGGTTTTTATGTCAAAGTTTTATGCTAGTCTCCCGCCGTCTGCCTTGTAAGTGTAAGGTCTTGAGTTCCATACCTGGTACCAAAAAAAAAAAAGTTATGCTAGTCTCATAAAATGAGTTAGGGAGTAGCAACTATCTTTTTTGTGTGTGTGTGCGGCAATTGAACTCAGGACCCGCTGCTAAGCTACATACCCTGCCCATCAACTATCTTTACTGAAGTATAAATGATAAACAGTATCTATTTAAAATTGACCCCCCCCCAAAAATTAAAAAAACCCCAACCCTCCAAAAGTTGAACCAGGATATTTTACAGCAATCACATTAAGAAATATGGGGCGCCAGGGATTTAGCTCAGTGGTTCCACCGATCGCTTTGCAAGCGTAAGGACCTGAGTTCAATCCCCGGTACCCCAAAAAAAAAAAAAAAAGAAAAGAAATATGGGGTGTGTAATTGGGGCATGTGTAATCCCAGTACTGGGGAGGCCTAGGCAGGAGGCTCCCCGTCAAGTTCAAGGCCAGCTTGGGTTATACAGTGAGTTCAAGGCCACCCTAAACTACACAGCAAGACCCTGTCTAAACAAAACAAAACATGACCAGTCCTTAGGATAAACTCACCATAAACTTTTTAACAACCACCAAGTAACTAAGCACTGCAAATTGCCAAATGTGTTAGAAATTGCAGCATCTAGAAAGATAAACTTTGTTCTTTCTTTCACTTTGGCAAAATGTTCATATCCTCTTTGTGCTTGGATAGAACTAGATGTCTGGTACCCTGATAATCTAGGGGCACATTTCCCTTCATTCTGGGGCCCAGGACACTCTAGTGGCACTGAATGGCACCAAGTCACACAGTCTCCCCCCACTCCTGCTGCAGGCTTTCTTTGCCCTAATAGTAGAAAATAAGTCGGCCCTCCATGCCCAAAACATCTTTTTGACAGCTGGATCTGGGCCAAAGGATCTCTCAAGACCTCAGGAGCCCATGTAGAGCAACTCCCAGTTAGACAAACCCTTCTCCCTGAGGAAACCGCTGAATCAGCTTCTATTGCTACTTCTTTGCACTGAGCTATGTCCCCAGCATTTTAAATTTTTTAAAATTTTGAGACAGGGTCTTCCTAAGTCACTACATTGTCCAGGAAGAGCTTGAATTTGTGATTTTTGCTTTTTTGGCAATATAGACATTTGTGAACAGCTATTTTGAAGGGTGAAGCACATGAAGACTAAAATTAGGTCAATAATTTTTTGACATAGTGGGGCGTGGTGGTGAATGCCTATAATCACAGCACTCTGGGAGGCTGAAGTGGGACAGCAAGTTCTAGTCCAGCCTGGGCAACTTGGAGAGCCTGTCTCAAAATAAAAAAGGGCTGGGCCGGGGATTGTAGCTCAGTGTGCTGCCACCTGCCTTGCAAGTGCAGTCCTGAGTTTGATCCCCAGTACCAAAAACATTTTTTAAAAAATTAAAAAAATAGGCCAGGGATTTAGCTCAGTGGCTTCACCGCCTGCTGCGCAAGCGCAAGGACCCGAGTTTGATCCCTGGTAAAAAAAAATTAAATTAAATTAAAAAAATAAAAATGGGGGGCCGGGGATTTAGCTCAGTGGTCCTACTGCCTGCCTTGCAAGCACAGATCCTGAGTTTGATCCCTGGTACCAAATCCTCACCCCCCCCAACCCCCCCACCCCGCAAAATGGGCTGGGTATGTACCTCAGTGCGAAGGCCTGGGGTTCAATTCCTTGTGCTACAAATAAAAATAACTACAAATGAATAAACAAAAAAAAGAGTTTTGTTACTTTTTAATTTTTTTGTTTTGTGAGACAGGGTCTCACTATGTAGCTCAGCCTGGCCTTCAACTCACTATGTAGCTCAAGGTGGCCTTGAACTCACAGCAATCCTCCTGCCTCAGCCTCAGGCATGCGCTATCACACCCAGCTGGTCTTGTTACTTATATATTCATTAATTACATTATATATTTTATAGGTGGCCCAAGATCTCTTGATCTTGCCCAGGCAAGCCAAAAGGGTGGACATCCATGACCTAAAACCATGTTACATATTTCACCTGTTAGTCAGCACTGCAGACATTCAGGCAGCCTTTAAATGGTGAAGACATGTCTGGGATGACTCAATGAGCCATTTCAAGTTTTCCCAGGTGACATGCTCGCCTTTCATCTAGTGTGGGACTCTGTACACAGTAGGTGTTAATGGTTGGTAAAAGAAAGAACAATTCCTGATCACAAAAATAAGCAGCCAGGGCACAAAACACAAGTCTCCCTGGAGTGCTCCCACATACCTGTAACAGCTCGTCACGGGAGATCTTGTCATCTTTATCCAGATCGTACAGCCGAAAAGCAACTGGTAGAGAAAAATTGAAGTTAGTGGGACTTCTGTAGTGTTCTGCCCCTTCTCAAGGAACTAAACATGTAAAGGACACCATGTAGAACAGCGATAGCCAGCTAACAGATTTCCCAAGACAACTGTCTTGACTTGTAGGACTTAAAAACACTGTAACAATTAAAATATGGAGAACTGGCCAGGCGTGGTGGCACACGCCTATAATCCCAGCCTGGCCTACCTAGTGAGTTCAAGGCCAGCCTGAACTACACAGAGAGACCCTGTCTCAAAAAAAGAAAGGAGACTTGATGGCACAGTAGAGGTCGGTGGAATGTGGTCTATTTTCCAACAAGCAAGAAAATTTCATAAAAAGAGAAACCTCTCCCCACCCTGACAAAAAAAGAGAAAACCAAGTGTTCCTTGTCTTATCCTAGAATATTTAAGAAAATTTAAAACCCAAACAACAAAAATCAAGCTTGACATGGTTCAGTAGGTCAGGTCCCCTCATGCAAACCATCAAACCCATTGTGCACAGCTCTGAGGAATTGATGCTCAGCCCACCCTGGGACCGGTACCAAGCAGCCCAAAGTGCTCCTCTGGGAACACTGCCCTGGGCCCCTGAGCCAGATTTAAAGAATCCCAACCACTTGGGAGTCCTGCAGGTAAAGAGCTCAAGTGAGACCCTGATGGGCTCCTGGCTGCCTCATGTTTCCCTCACTAACAACTGAGAACCTTCGAGAGAGTAGGTCAGAGGAGGGCTTCAATTGTGCCCGTATAAGAGAAAAAATTAAAAACAAACAAAAACTAAACCAAACCAAAAAAAACCCAAACAAAAAAGAGAGAAAAGGAAAAGAAAGAAAGAAGAGAAAGAAATGAGGAGAGCAGTAATCATCCTGTCTTTGTCAAATCACTGACCAGTTATTCTGACAACAATGGGTCGACACTGGATGACTTGCTGGGCACTGTGAGAAGTGTCACACTGAGGAAGTGACTGTCTCACCATCAGCTGAATTCAGGGTGGTTTGGATCATTTCAAGTAAGTGGTTAAGACCTGTGGTCCTCATCGCTCCAGTCAGTAACCCTGCGGGTTAGACACTGTTCTCAGGGTACGTGGTCTGGTGGACACTGCCTACTCTAGGGTGAGTCCACTAAAAGCTGAAGTAAAAATCTTAGAACAATTTTTCTAAAAATTAGGAAAATCTAATTTATTCTTTGTAAAGTATGCAGCAGAATTCTGCAGGGAGATAGTAGTTGGGAGAGACTTTTAAAAAAAATTTTCTTTCAATTTTTTTTTTTTTTGATACCGGGGATTGAATTCGGGTCCTTGCGCTTGCGTAATTTAATTTAATTAGCAGAAAAATTACCTTCTTTCCAGTGCTGAACACAGAACTCAGAGACACTTTACAACTGAACTACATCTTCAGCCCTTTTTATTTTGAGACAAGGTGTTGCTAAGTTGCTCAGCTGGACAAGCTGGGCACAAACTTGAGATTATCCTGCCTCAGCCTCCCAGAATGGTGGGATTACAGGCAGGCATGTGCCACCACATCCACGTTAGCTACTACTTTTTTTTTTGGTACCACAGATCAAACTCGGGACCTTGCACTTGTGAGGCAGGCGTCGGAACCACTGAGCTAAATTCCCGGCCCTACCTACTACTTTTTAAATGTCCAAACTTTCAGGTAATAACCCTAAAAAAGTTAAGAGATTAAAATAACTTGGTCATTCTTTTTTTGGTGTTTTGGTTTGGTTATTTTTTTGGTACTGGGAATCAAATTGGTTTGGTTTTTTGAGATAAGGTAGTTCAGACTGGCCTTGAACTATGTAGCCCAAGCTGGCCTCAACCTCAGAGATCCTCCTGCCTCAGCCTACTTAGTGTTGGGACTTTAGGCGTGTACCACTATACTTGGCAACTTTGTCATTTTTAATCTTCAACTCATATATTAGTAATTAGGTTGTCTAAAGATGTTTTTCTCAGTGTCCACTCAAGTATGTCATACTAAAAAAAAAAAGGGCCGGACATGGTGAGAACTGCAGCAAGTCTGAGGCCAGCCTGGGCTACATACTGAGTTCAAGGCCAGCCTGAACTACATAGCGAGACCCTGTCTCAAAAAAAAGAAGGCCTTTGGCTGGGGATTTAGCTCAGTGGTTTCGCTGCTTGCTGTGCAAGCGCAAGGACCCAAGTTCGATCCCCAGCACCAAAAA